TTCCTTTCTACATAAAATGATGTCCACTTTCATATCTGGTCTTGATGTAGACAGTCAAACTACAGTTTAGCCTGTATTAAGTGGCACCGTATTATGCGCTTACCCCGTATTACACTTTTTGCTATTCATTTACTGAAGGTGTCTGTTCATTGGGTCAATAGTTGTTCCCTTAAGGGGAATACACTTTATTCTCATGGAGAAGGAAATAAGCTGCAATTGCACGAAACAAGTGTTCAATAACTGCATTTGCATTTCAAATGACATTTAACAGCATTATCACACAAGCAATAGCTCCTTCAGACATTTTCATCTTAACCCAAATGACATTCATTAACGCCAAAAGACAGTCAAACTCCACTTCATGACAATCTTAACTGTGCAAGAAATTCATAAGCGCGGTCTGCATTTGAAATGACAATCAATAGTATCGTTTAATAGCCATTGCCCTGAACATCACGCAAGTCAAATGCTGGCCTACCTGTATTTAAATGAGCAGTTACCCCGCCATTCTCTATGCATGATCGATTAAAACAGGTTTCACTGCACTGCTATTTTACAAGCCATATGCACCCTGTTGATGATAAGCATTTTACATATTTCGCGTCTTTTGCGAAAGTTTTAGCAGGATAAACTTTTTCAGGTTTACAACTTGATTCCTTTATGTTCGACAATGATCTTGGATGATCTTGGATGATCTTGTAAACATCCTCACAACTTCTAAAATCCCACATTAGCCCACAGTAAAGATTGCAAAGGACCATCGGAAGGGCCACAATAACCTCTGTTGATAAAAGGTAGATTCTTTCACATTTTCTTTTTCCCAAGTGCTCATGAAAAATACTTCTGAATCCTTCATCTTTCGAAATATGTTTCTCTAACATCCTGTAAGGTTTTCCTCTAGCAGCAGTGTATCAATTTTAAGGAAACAGATCACGTCAACAATTAGATATCTCAATGAACAATAGTTTTGATCTGAAGGTATACTTTTAGTGAAGTGTCAGTCCAATGAAGAAAGCACATCAACAGCATTTTTAATGAACAAAGCACAGTCTAAGCAACATACATGTAGCCAACAGAGATGAACTCCTTAAGGGTTTTAAAAGGCACTTTTACCGCGCATTCCAATCAGATTTAGCAAATCTTGGGAAAGGGATTTGTCAAATGTTTTTGTCAGTTTACCCGTATCCAATCTTTTCCTATCTCCCTGAATTTGACCATTGTGGATGCGTGTTGATTCTTGTGTTTGGCTGGTTCTTCAATCAATATTACGCCTAGTTGTATTTCTGTATTTGATTGGTTATAATTGAAGAGCTAATTAATAGAAAAAGTACTGCAATGTTGAACTACTTTCGGAAGATAACTAAAACGTTTTTAATGCATGAAATACAACTCTCCTATGTGCATGTTATGGCAAGTAATATGGAATTAAATTTTTTATCTTACTCTTAATTTCTTTTTTACAAGTCTCTTCTGTCACAGTTACATTTACAAGTGTAACTTAACATCCAGTCTCCTAACTCATGAACTTTTTTCTCCTTTACCCTCCCTAATCCTTAAAGTTAAAACCTTAAGTTGTTGAATTACTGGTAGAAGCAAATTCCGACTTCAACATTTTCCGGCTGTTGGGTGCATACGGATTCAAAGGTGTCACTCGTGTCTTACCCTTGAACGACGGACGAAATGAGTAGTCCGACACCTCTGAACTGACGGCCTGGAGAGTATTTTCTTCAGGTTTGAGGAGAATTACGTAAATCTTTGGACAGAACATGCAAAGTAATAGTCCATATGAACTAACAAGTATCATTGTACATGTCAAGTTTGTAGCATGGGAACCCTTAAGGCCGATGTCAATAGGTAAGTATGCTACACATGAAAGGAGTAAGATGTACATTGAGAATCCAATATACCTGGCTTCGTTAAAGTTCTCAGGAAGTGATCTGGCTTTGAAGGCGTAGTATGTGCAAGCCACTGCAAGAAGAGACGTGTAGACAGATATGGCGATTTGGAAACTCCTTCCGACGGACGATTGATACAAAGAACACGAGAGAAGAATTGAACCTTCATTTGTCTGTATCATCCGTTGTTGGTGTGGCGAGTCAAAGATAATCCATAACAAAGAGAATACAGCTGGTGGAAAGATTAGCACTAAAACGATAAACGTTTGCCTCTTTGTCGCAAGAATAAATGTTTTGAATCTCTCGGCCATGACGTTTATTTGGAATGCACTGAGTATCTTCATGGTCTTAATT